CAGGACTTGCTAACCCTTTCCTCTCACTAGGGGACTGAGACCCTAGTCCTCTCCACTGAGCCTCGTTTTATGCACCTATAAAAGGGATCAGTTAGTGGAATGGTCACATGAGCTGCCGCGGGGATTGAAGCTGTGTGGGGACGGAGCTCAGAAGAGTGCCGCCACCTGGACAGCCCCACTTGCTTGCCCCCCTCACACCTCCTTCAGGGTGAGGTGCAGGGAGGCCGTGGGCTGATCACGAAGATGCTCTCATTGTCGCTATTGCTGCTGGCACAGTGGCCTTGCCTCAGGGGTCTAGGTCAGCACGGGGTGCAGAGTGAGGGCCCCTCTTGGCTGAGGAAGGACTTCATGTGGACTGAGGGAAGGAGACGGAGCCCTGAGGGGTCAGAAGCAGCTCCGGGCCTCCTGCCCTGTCCCCGCAGATGGGCCCGACAACGTGGTGCTGTGGGGCTTGCCCGAGATCTTCAACGGCATCCTCACTGCTCAGCTCGGCTCCCAGGTGGAGGTCGAGTGCGTCTCCACTTCCCGCCCCAGCAGCACGTACCGCTGGACCCACAACGGCTCCCTCCTGGACCTCTCGGACCCGAAGATGACCCTCCCAAGTCTGGCCTGGGAGCAGACGGGCCACTACCGATGCATCGTGGAGAACCCTGAGGCCCAGCTGAGCTTGTACAGGAACGTCAGGATCCAGACTCCCGCTGAGAGTGAGTGTGGCCGCCCCCTCCAGCCTCTGCCCTCCAAGTCCTCCTGCCTCGATGCCCTTGTCTAGGCAGTGCCCGACATCAGGAATGCCACCGTCCCCTTAGCACCCGATGCTCACGACTTCTGGGTGAAATCCTCCCACCCTCTGGGGTCTGGTCCAAAGCTGCTTCTCTGTGGATGCCCAGAGCCCTCGGATTGGAATCAGGTAGGCTGCCAGGTGGTCTGGAGCACTCATGGCTGCCTGCGGTATTATGCATCTCCTGCTTAATTGTCCCTGTCCACTTCCCAGCTGGAATGTCAGCCCCAGGAGGGCAGGGAGTTTGTTTTGTTCGCAACTGAAACCCTAGTGCCTGCACCTGTGCTTTGCACAGAATGGGTGCTGAGAAGCCTTTGAGAAACAGAGGTGCGGATGAGTGAAACCAGTGAATGAATGAGCGAACGGTGGTCCTGACCGCAGGTGTCCTCTCCCTCCAGAGCCCTTACCTGAGGTCCACAGCGATTTCTACCTCTCGGGAGCCATGGTGGTGTTCCTCATCATACTGACAGTCCTGGGCAGTGTCTACCTCTGTGGAGTCCTGGTCTACGCTCTCATCAGACATTACTCAACCAGGTGCCCTTTGTTGCTCTGGGTCAAGGGTGGGGCATTGGCGGGGTCTGGGACTCAAGGGCCGGCACACCCTCCAGAGAGGAAGGCTGAGCCAGAGGGGAAAGGACAAGCCAGGGGAAGGGTGGTCAGGGATCACCTGGGGCAGACAGGTCCCAGGAACAGGAGCTGGTGGGAGAGCGGGAAGCTTAGAGACAGCCACGCCTCTGGGTGGCTGTGGGGTTTCAACCAGCCACTCCCCTTCTTGTAGAAGCATCCCTTCCCTTCAGATGCATTTAAAAATGAATGTTGAGTTTTACCTAGAGGGACAGGAAATAAGAGGGTCACATGTCAAGTATCTGGTACCGAGTAGTCACTTTTCACCAAGTGAAGTTGAGGAAACAGGTATCAGAGGTCCACCATGCAGAGAGAAGAGATTGGGTGGCGAGATGACCAGGGTGTAGGTTCAAGCCCCAGCTCTGCCACTAGCTGGCTGGGTGACCTGGGGAAGATCACCTCTCCCCTCGGATCTTCCTTGGCCCCACCTGGAGGGTG